GAAAGCCAAACAAACAGCCCCTTAGAGGATTAACTGGGTTCCTTTGGTTTATCTTGAAAAGGTGAYGTGATAGCCTGATTGCTAGGATTTACAATGCATCTACTTTTTTGCAGGTTAATTTTCTGATCATTTGGCATTCACAGGCAGAAAGAAAATGAATTTCATATCTTTCTTCCAAGACTTTCATATGCATTTACTTGATATGGACTAGGGATGAAGATAGAACGAGACATCCGTATTACCTCMGCTGAAAGTGTTCGTAGCTCCTGATCACGAGCTGCTAATAGATGAGCAAGATCGACCTACAGAAGGAGGCGATTAAATTCTTCTTTCTAACATCCCCACATAAACAATCATAAATGCTGTAAAATATAATGAATTTATTAGAAAACCTGATWTATTACCTGAGGTGCTGTCCCGTCACCAGACCTTTCGAATTTGCTTAAGCATTCTTGCAACCTAAGAATCTGCAGTGATAAAGACCCGTCTTAGAAATTGCTACTTGCTAGAAGTCACAACGTGCAAGAACACCCCCCCCCCCCCCCAAGGGGGATAAAGGCCCTATATGCCCGGATTACTAGCATCTAGTTCTTTCCTTTTTCTTAAGGGTGCGTGGTACGTGGACTGGACTGGACAGGACATGCGAGAATGAGGTTGGCAGCTAAAAGAGTTGTGGAAGGTTTTACAGTTTTTAACTTGATGGGTAGTTTAGTAAATTACCAATCTTGTCCATCTCTATTTTTGTTCAACCTGACAAAAAAATGCCATTCRGTCCCATAGTGTCCTAGTCTAATGCCACGCCATACATGGAACAAGTCTTTGTTGTCTCGTTCCGTTATGTCCCATGTACTAAACACACTTTAAATAAATATTGTTGGAGGGAATCTGATGTTCCAAACCCTGAATACATGATATAACAACAGGTTAACTTAACCACAAGGGTTGTTGCATAGTGGTTAAGGCCCGTGAAGATCTGGTGGAATATCCTATCTGCCCTTGGTTCAATTCCAGGCKTCCACAATCAATTGTGGTCAATGAGTTTATTTAGGGCTGATGTCTTACGGTCGCAATCTATCGGGATTAGTTTGGGCATATAGCCCGAGACACCTTTCCTCAAAAAAACAACMACCGGGAACTTTCTATCGCTATTTACCTCCTCGCTCAGAAAGTTAAGATTGTCTCTTTGATATTGTAGCAAAGCCATTTGCTGATCAGAGAGCCGGCCGCCATCGTGATACCTGTTAATAGTTTTCAGGAATCAGTAGACTCTAAGAGAAACATTGTGACGTTTCATTTAAGCTCTCATTCCAGACAAGTATTATATTCTAGTTTTGCTATAATCAAAAGGGGTAATAATGGGGAGAAATATTTGTTTAATCTAGAACACATTAGCTACGGCTGTGAGATTAAGCCATCAACTTAATCAATAAGCTATAAACAKATGAACACATACAACGAAGTGAACAAGCCATTCTCCCTAGGGCTTGTCTGTTAGCAACTTAATGAGCTTAATGGGACTCGCAATTTATTCCGTCAGTTATATATGGTTGTTTGGTAGTGACTTATTCAGTAAGCTTTTAGGAGGGAGCTTTATGCAGAAAGCCAAGTTTTTCCAAACTTGCTCCTTCCAATTATAAAACACGCACCTTCCATCTATGAAAAAACCCTCCCAAGCAAAAATCTTTTGATCCATATGGACAGATTAATCCACACACAGACAACTTTATCCATAGAGGACTTAATGGAAAACCAATCAAGCATCCCCTAAATCTTCATAGTCAAGTTGACAGTGTGTATGGAATAATCGTCTTTCTTGATTTTTGACTTAGGACGATGAGTTCACCCTAAGGCATCAGATATCATCGATACTCTTTTGTTTTTTTATCCTCTTTTTGAAGTATATAATATTTATATACGACAAATGAAACTCACACCCACACCTTGCCTTTGGTGAGGTTGGAACCGTGACCTCTACAAAGGTCGGKTTACTGGATACCGTTGAGCCAAAGAGATTGCCTTCATCAACGGAGCCATCATCCACTTTTACTATCTGTCAAGATAACTCAATCTCTTCTCTCAAACTCTCATAGTCAATCTAAGGAGATGCATAAATAAAATCTTGGCCCGGTTCAAAACCAAACTTTTAGTTTAAACGAGTTGGATTTAAAACCACCCATGGTTTTAAAAATTGTATGAGATGCACGCCTCAAGGTGAGGCTGCCCAAAACAGCACCTGAGGCAGCGCCTCTTGGACCCTCGACGAGGCTTACGCCTTGGTTCAGCGAGGCGGTTTGGTGAGGCTTGAGGCATTGTCAAGGCGTACGCCTCAGATTATCTACTTTGGTAATGGTTTCTTTGGCTTTTTTTAATAAGTTAGGCAGTAGTATTACTTCTCTTTATAGTATAAGTGTCTTTTTATTTTAAATAACAAAAAGCCAAAAAGCCAACACTTTCTCCTCTCGATCAAAAATTGTGGTTTGACACTTCCTCTTCCYCCAAGCAACCAATATTTCCACACCTATTCAGCCTGATTTCGCCTTTTAAAACCTTGAAATCACCAACTTAAAAATTTAACCCTAAATACTAATTAAGCAGATTAGACCAAGATCAAAGTTAAATTCAGGATTAAGGAGGTAGTATGATAGATGTGTCACCACCTTAATGCTTCCAGAGAGCTTGGTGGTTGAAGGGGAGAATACAAGGATTTCAGAACATCTGGCTGTGATTCCAATGTATTGTACTGGTGTACATTACCTGCAGGCATCAGAAAGGTGATTAAACATACGAACTGCCAATAGAACAAAATTCGGTGTGTTYGAAAGTAATATTGAGCAGATAGCATCAAACAAAACCGAACATGTCAATTAAAATAACACTGAATTGTAATTAACTTGGGTTCCGCCATGAAAATGCTTACAAATAAATTCTGAATCTCAGATATACCTTGTATCACTTATCAAGATGGTATTAGAAGTTTGAGCACCAAGAGTATGAAACACCTATATGTATGTAAGAATATGTGTGTGTATATATATAGGGTCGGTGAAAAACCGTAAAAAAATGAAAAACTGAGAAACACCCTAGTAACCATTCTGCCGTAAGGTATGCACATGTGCACAACATGCACACGTGCATAGAAACCAGGACCATCTTCAATTACTTGTATGGACATGTACATACCGTATGGATGAACGGTTATTAGGGTGTTCCTCAGTTTTTCATTTTTTGGGGAGTTTTCCCTAAACCTCACTCACTCACTCTCTCTCTCTCTCTCTCTCTCTCTCTCTCTCTCTCTCTCTTTCTCTCTCTCTTTGTGTGTGTGTATATATATACACACATATACATATACACACACACACACACACGGAAGGGTTCAAATGAGAACTCCTGTGATTTGCGAAAACGCGAGAACAGTCTCTAAGCCAAACATTGTGTTTTAGATCACATTTCAAGAGAAGTTAAGGGATTTTTCAAATTTAAATTAATATTAAAGAGTTTTCAAAAATATCAAAGATGTGAAAGAGTAAAATTGGAAATTGATATGCTAAAMTTCGAATAACACGATGAAGATAGTTCCGATCATCGAGGAGTGATRATCATTGAATGTGTATCACATACTTCTCACARTTGAGGGCAAGGCCGATAAATCGAACAGGACAATTATCACAACCCATAAATTGATACCATATGTGTTTGATTAACATTGTTTGATCGATTAACATAGTTTTGTTCAATTATCAACAACAAAAGAGCARAATTGAGTAATAGACAATGTATATATTTATCGATTAACATACTTTTGCTTATCAAATGATATTATCACAGTCTAGTTAGGCCACATTCACAATGTGAATTGATGATAACCCCTCTGTTTTCATCGATTAACACAGTTTGTTCGATTATCAACAACATAAAGACMAAATCGAATAATAGACAATGTATATATTTATCAGATTGTTTGCTTATCACATGATTATCACAACCTAGTTAGGCCAATTAACAGTGTGGATTGATGATGACCCCTCTGTTTTGAATGATTGGACTCTTCCATTCTCGGGTCGAAAAGAGAATTTGAAACTGAGAATATCACACTACGATCGAATATGCARATACAGTAAACGATCGAGACATGAGATTAGACGTGATCAGATTCCAATCGGAAATCATGGGATAATTACAATTAATTAAAATAACATAAAAAAYTATAAAAATACCTAATTACATTACTACCCTTATTGGATTATTTTTATTTATTATAATTTMAATTATTGATTAAAAAGGTTAGAGGCCCAAAAATGTTTCTCGCATTCTCGTAAGGTGTTCTCGTTTGAACCTCCACCTATATATATATATATATATATATATGTATGTATAACTTAACCCATAATTAAATCCGAGAACATTTATATATATATATATATATATAAATTAAACATGATCACTACTACTTTCACTCTTAGGCTTTTTAGCTTTAGCAGGCTTGGAAGAGAACTTACCAATATAGATACTCATGAAAGAGGCAGCAAAGATGGCTTCAACCACCATGATAATCCTGAAAATTTGGAGGAGCTAAAAAAATGTCAGCAAGAGAACCAACCAATTTAAGTATAAGTATTTAACCATGGGATTCATAGGTGTGTACTGTCATAGTCCATCCCAAACCCAAAATCTTAGCAATTTCATTTATTCTCCTACCTTGACCAATGTTTGTCCTTTTAAACTTCAACTGAACTTTTAATTACCAATTAAAAGTGTAAATCAGCCTTGTGTTCTAAGCATTGACCATATAAATAAAATAATGAGAAGTGGATATGGTGGGTCCAGAAATATGATGCGCCAAAGGGTTGTATATTTATTTGCCTAGAGATACTTCCCAAAAAAGGGAATGTTACTACTTCCTCCGTCCCAAAATAAATGTTTGCATTTCTACTTATACTTGTCCCAAAATAAATGTCTAGTTTAAAAAATAGACAACTAAATTCTCAAAGTACACCCTTMGTTAATGCACGAACATTAAGAGTTGTGGAAAGAGATAAATTAAATAAGGGTAAAATTGTCCTTTGGTTAACTAAAAAGTGTAATAATTATGTATATCTAATAAAGTGCAATAATTATACATGTCTAATAAAGTGTGTCGTTTCTATTGTGGACACTTGTTTTGAGACGGAAGGAGTATTAAGCAGAGAAACCAGGAAGTATTTTTTTTGATCGAGACTCCTGGTCATAAACTTTTCCTACTTATCTTCAATTGTATGTGTCTGGCATAGGGATAGATGAATACCAGTAAAAAAGCCGGGAACTAGGGCTGAACCCATAAGCGAAATTGCTGATAGCTTRATCATTAAGCCACAAACAAACACTAAGATATGGCAGAGCGAATAAGCCCTCCATATCATTAAACAGTCCCTAAATCAGCCTCGGGTTCCAAGTATCAACCATAGAAAGAAGATAACTGAAAGTGGATATGGTGGGTCAAGAAACATGATGCACCAAAGGATAGAAAGTTCTATTTGCCTAAAGTTACTTCCTACAAAAAGGCAATGCTACTATTTAGCAGAGAAGAGAACATGTTTAATTGAAAACCAGGATGTACATTTCTTAATTGTATAAACTTTTCCTACTTATTTTTAATTGTATGTGTCTGTGGCATACAGATGGATAATTATTGAAATTTTTTGTGTAACATAGGAATGACAAAACACAACCTTGAGACATAAATAACATTTAGATTATAATCTAATGTAGCTCTAATGAAGCTATCACTAAAAACATGAACTTGCTCAAATGAGATCATTAGAGGATGAAGAGTGATATCCCTGCGCGATTTACTCAAATCTGATCATAAAAATATAACTATTAAGAATGAAGCAGGTTACAATTAAATATCAAGTTTAGTTTCAGTTTCAGAGATTGCAAGGGCAGTTACCTGAGAATCATAGGAATTGGAAGAATTCTTATATATGGCTCCCAAACCATGATAAGTAGCATCACCCCGGTGCCTGAAATGAGCACAAAGTAGCTGAAACAGATATACTAGCAACACATAATTCCATGTGTCCCTTGCTACTGTTCTTCCAAAACGGGTCACGCCACACAGACTTTTGGAAGTCAGAATACTTATCAATTACAAATTTGATATCTGTTTTCTAGACGATATACATACAACATTTCTTMAATTCTTAGTAAATTTCAACTTAGTTATCATTTTTTTCAAAAAATTAAAAATTGAGAACCTAGTATATCCCACTSGGGAGTAAGATCTGGGGATTAAGTACTCTTTGACAGTTTTAGACAAACAAGAATTAGCCTTCTGAGTCTCCTGAATTGTTTTCTGGCATTTATGCATTCACTCATCATAATGCAATTCTTTATGTTATCAATATTTGAAGTAAACAACACAACTAGAATAAATTAAGAAACAGATAAACTTTTACAGGAATGCTGTAATGAAGATATACATACCATATGACATACTGGCAAAGGGTAGGCGAATAATATGCTTCATCTTTTGACTGAAAATATAGTAACCCTACATAATGGAAATGAATGTTACAATTCCATCCTAAAAGAACATGTAGGTGTCCTACGAGTGACATACATACAACACAATAATTGTTAAGTCTTGGCACCTCCAAATCAGTAATTTCATTAATAACTCTTCCAGTGCTCAAAGAGAAATTTCTTGAACCAATATGGTTTTTGTACTCGTAGAGAAAAATAGTTTAAAATCTTGAAAGATCCATTTATATGTTTTCAGTATGATTCATTTATACGTTTTCAATGCAACTGGCACAATCATTCACCCATCTAATTTCAAGCCTACAGTYTGTAAAAAAATTGCAGAAGTGATTAAACCAAAAGGAAGCCGAAAAATGCATGCAATATGTACTATGAAGACTTGCATTCATGAATAACAGGAAAGAACYATGACGTCATCAAAGTGGTCTATCAGCGAATACTAAAGAATGTAGAAAATTAGATTACTACCTGCAATCTTATTTTCTGGACTTGATAAACCATATATTGCTGGAAGATGCCTGCAAGTACAATGATATTTGTGAAAGACCAGTCTCCAAAAAGGCAAAAACAAGCAATATACCAACTGAAACTGCTTTAATGTCTGTGAAGACATGATATAAGATTCAACAAAGCTAGACCAAACAAAAATGGCCAAAAGATATTAGAAAAGAATATCAGGACATTGAATAAAGAAGAAAAACATGTGATTATCATATCAAACAGAACATAAAATAAACTAGAATACCAGTGATAATCAATAAAGCAACATCACAGGTGGAGAGTAACTTTAATATCAAGTATTGCTTAGACTGGAACACCCATGGAGCTCCCACAGCCAATGTAGCATAACCTGACTAGAATAAAAGGGAATCAGGCCAAGTTTCCAAAGAACGAAAAGCTTCTGGAAACCTTAATATYGTATTGAAGAAACAAGAAATGATACTTGCCAAGAGTAGACAGTACAAAATGCTACCAATGATGCTTGTATGTTTCCGCTGCCCATATAAAGGAGCTTCATTCGATATATCAAGGAATCTATAGAAAAATAGTAAACAGTCATCAGTAACCAAACCAAACAAACCCAGTAAATCCGACTAAGCAGGATCCGGGAGGTAGGTGTGCTCATGAGTTGGGTTGATCGGTTGAAGGCATTTCAACAACTCAACTCATGTTTGCAGTTTGCAAAATCTGAACCTAACCCAAACCAAACCGTATGGGTTGGTCGGGTTGATACTTTGGTACATCAAAATATTCTCCTATGTTTGTTACCTTGAATATGTTGTTTTCTCTACTATAATTCCTTTTCCATCATCAATCATTTRGTACAACTTATCCATATTTCTTCTTAAGTATATCACATTCAACTACTTTTCTCAATTTGTATATATATGTCCACATTTACTGAACATATATATGAAGGAGTTATATAGAGATTGAAAATATATGTATATGAAGAGCGTACGTGATGGTGGAATTGTCCAATGTACATATTAATAGAGACTTAAAAAATCATATTAAATACAAGAAATAAAAGGATATCGGGTTCATCGGGTTGGGTTCAAATGACCGTAACMCAACTCCAACCAAATACCTCTAGTTTGAAGATTTTACAACTCGATAGGTTGCTTCGGGTTGGGTTATTTCGCGTTGGGTTGGGTTGGTCGGGTTGGTTGGGTTTTTGAGCACCTCTACCGGGAGGGGTGAGATGTACGCAGACCTGACTTCTAGCTCAAAGTGTAGAGCGGCTCTTTCCATAAAGACCCCTAGCTTGTGCAAGAGTGTGAGCATACAAGAAAACAGTCATCAGTAGTACATGCTAATGTGGATCAACTGAGTTCTGCATAGAAGTGTTGAAACTGTCTACTATGCATATGGCAATATATGCAGGATCTCGAGGAGCTATTGGCACCAAAATATCAATGCAAAAAATTGAGAACTTAGAATTTTTACCTAAAGCAGGGGTTAAACTAAACACTTGTGTCCAAGATARATAAGGATGGTCATGAAGTTTATTAGCAAGTTGATGCATCAACTATGACTATGAGGGAGTTTGGAATCATGTCAASAGGCTTGATAGTTTAAACCACGGGTTTAATGATTCCCAAGGACCACCAAATTCCTTTAATTGGTCATAAGAAAACTWATACGTGATGGTTAGAGAACTCCAAAGGGACAAATTGATTATTGGAACTTCATGCCAGTCAAGCTGGGAACTATGGAACGTTAACATGTAAAAACAGGCAGAAGGGTGGTTTCACAGAATCACAAATTATACAAAGTTATCTCGCAGAGTTGTTCCTATATGCTCTGTAATCCATACTGATTCAGTAGGAATAAGATAAATCATTGTCAGTCAACCCTCCAAATATTCATTCCAATACCTTCATACCTTTTCCTCAGTCTCGTAATTCTTGCTCTATATTCTTTAATTCCCTCAAAATATCATACACTGCTTCTTCTTTTTCCCTCGAGAACAATTCTAAGAACGTCATAACTGTATGSTTTACATTAGGGTAGGTATCCAAACAGATCCCCGAGAATGGATGAACGACCCAGAATGTGCTCTGGAGCAGAAGACACTCCTACATGCCAAAGGCATTCCTTAGCCCAACGACGTCTTAATGAAATCTTGATATCCAAATTCGCCTCCYCGTAACCCTTAAACATGTTGGTAATATTAGTTTCTAACTGACGTAAACCCAACTCAAACTTGRTATCCAATAAGGGCATGGATCTGAAAATCCAATTCCCTGGCTTGGGGTTGGCACTTGAGCAAAAATAGCTCCAAATATGAATTAATTTAGCTCGAAATCCATCCCTTAAAGTGCATGTCATCAATCAATTTGTGACCATGGCTTGGAGTTTCAATTCCATGGTTTGGAATTGAAACTGCATCAAAATCGCTGTAGGATTCAAACTGACATCGGATTCCAAATTTAAATGCCAGATTCCATACATATAAACAAAACAAAAAGAACCTAATACACATTAAAAGAACCAAGTCATGATTCATTGAATAAGCAAGTGCAACAGAAACGATATCAGATTGGAAGCAACAAAACATCATCAAGAAGTTTAATTCCGTATTCCAGAACGTAAACCAAGAAAAAGAAATCGCAAGTAAATTAGGGTAAACTAATTGTCTAGTATAGACGATGAAACATAGCATATCACTAAACATTAGRATGGCCGAACTTGGTGAATCAGAATTGTAAAAAAAGAAAGGTGTAACATATACATATAACTGCAACTTACAGATAATTGTCATCTGGAGATGCAGSGCGGGAAGCAGCGTGTCGGTCCGAAGACATGATCTTTGGAAACTATAGGGTTTCGAGATTTCAGTTGTGTTGCAGTAAATGATGCAGTGTTTTCAGTTAAAAGACCGAYAACCAGTGAGTTGATCGCCACATGCAAACAAACCCCAGATCAGAATCATCACCAAATCAACCGGACTTTCGTCGGGTTAAAAATCCCCAATTCACCATATTGCCGCATAAAATTGGTTACACCATTTCCCCCAACAAATTCTAACAATTTATTCGTTTCAAAGTTTACTAGTAGTTGTGTATAGTTGTTATTTTGAAGTTTCATTGATTTTATTATAAAAGTTTAACGATGATATAAGTAATATTTGGTTTTTATATACTAGTACAATTTGAGTAAATAAGAATTATGGTTTCAATTGCAGTCTATCGATAAAAATAATTGTATGACAGTTTAAAATCCAATATATTTAAAATCCAACATATTTAAACGGCTCCACAAATGTGTTCGATTTACACCAAGAGCAAAAAATCAAGAGATAGAAAACGAGACCGAGAGTTCTAGAGCAATTGAATGAGAGAACTTTTAATAACTCATGGTTATTAGTTTGAATCTCACCTTGAACTTGAAGGATGGAGAGAAGACATAAAGATATGAGAGGGTGAAGGCACGAGTGAAATATGTCGAAAGTATCTTGGAAACATGAAAAGAAAATATAATAATATGCATTGGTAACTTGTACTATATGTTATTTTAATTGTAGATTAAGATATTTTAAGATGAATGCATAAAGTAGTAGTACTTAATGCATTATGAGTTGTTTTTAAAGCTTTCAAGACTTTGTGTATAAATGTATAGTACTTTATATATTAAAAATTGTTTTTAAGACTTTTGATAAATCTAATTTATAAGATAGTATAAATAAGAAGTATATTATTAAAATATTAAAAATTATGGATTTTATTTTTTT